TCAATACTTCTCAATCAGCCAATCCCTCTTCCAGTTCCACTACTGGGTTATGTTCGGTGACTCAATCTGGTAAACTATACTCAGCTTTAAAATCTTCCATTCACCATAAAGATCCTTGGATCATTGATTCAGGGGCCTCCGATCATATGACAGGTGGTTCTAATCTTTTTTACTCTTATGTTCCTTGTTCTAATCACACCACCGTTACAATTGCTGATGGGTCTTTGACTCCAGTTGCTGGAATCGGTAATATTAGATTATCTCAGAACCTTATCCTTGAATCTGTCTTCCATGTCCCTGCCTTAAAATGCAACCTGATCTCTGTTAGTAAAATTACACGTGATAATCATTGTGTTGCTAAATTATTGCCTTTGTCATGTCAATTTCAGGACCTATTATCGGGGAAGATGATTGGCAGTGCTAGGATTCATGATGGTCTTTATTACTTTGAGAGTGATCAATCGAAGAGTCGACAAACTTTTGAGTCCAGTATTGTTTCTATGTCAGTTTCTAGTACTAGGAAAATAATGTTATGGCATCATAGACTTGGCCATCCCAGTTTTTCATATCTTAAACGTTTGTTTCCATCTTTATTTAATAATACAAATCTTATTTCTCTTGATTGTGAAATTTGTCAACTAGCTAAACACACTCGCATTTCACTTTCTCCAAAACCATATATACCATCCACACCGTTCTCTTTAATCCATAGTGACATATGGGGACCTTCAAAAATCACTACATCTCACGGTAAAAAATGGTTTCTTACATTTATTGATGATCACACACGTGTTACATGGGTTTATCTTCTTCGTGACAAATCCGAAACCAGTCAAATATTCAAATTCTTTTACAAGATGGTTCAAACCCAGTTTTAAACCAATGTCCGAACTCTTAGAACCAACAATGGAAAAGAATACTTCAATTCCATCCTAGGTGATTATTTGTTGGAAAATGGGATTATACACCAAAGTTCATGTGTTGATACTCCACAACAAAATAGAGTATCCGAAAGAAAAAATCGTCATTTGTTGGAAGTAGCCCGTGCTCTCATGTTTACAATGAATGTTCCAAAATACTTATGGGGGGACGCGATCCTAACTGCTACTTATCTCATCAACCACTTACCAAGTCGTCCTATCAATTTTGAAACCCCTTTGTCGGTTCTTTCCAAAACCTATCCGCAAGTTTCTAAATCCAATGCTCTTCCATTAAAAACCTTCGGTTGTACAGCATTTGTCCATATTCATGAGCACAATAGAAGTAAACTTGATCCCCGAGCTCTCAAAACTGTCTACATTGGCTACTCTCCAACTCAGAAAGGTTATCGATGTTACTGTCCACAAACCAGAAAAACATATGTTTCCTGTGATGTCACATTCTTTGAAGATACTCCTTCTCTCCAACTTCGCTTCAGGGGGAGAAATAGGATGAAGCTTGTTGTTCCTGGGATATTCTTGACCTACCGTTACTTGATGTTAATTCGGACACCACAATTGTTTCCACATCTGAGTCAATCAGACCAGCCCTCCAAATGTGCCAAATCCACCTAATTATGGACCAATATTGGAAACGGGGGGAGAAGTAACACTGCCTGAGCCTAAACAACAAGAGTTATGGGTCTACTCTAGAAGGAAAAACTTTCAAGGAAATAAAGAAATCATGAATCCTACTCACAGTCAAGAAGATGAACCGATGGTAGATTCTCACCTACAAAATGAGTCAAGTACATCTAGTCCTATTCTTAATTTAGACAAACCAATAGCAGTTAGAAAGGGTGTTAGATCTTGTACTCAACATCCTATTTCCAAATTCATCTCCTATTCAAATCTATCTCCTTCATTCCGTGTTTTTACCTCAAAACTATCTAGTATAATAATTCCCAGGTCTATTAAAGAAGCGTTGGATGTTCCTGAGTGGAAAGCTGCTGTTCTTGAAGAAATACGTGCTCTTAAACAGAATAACACATGGAGCTTGGTAGAATTGCCCCAAGGGAAGAACATAGTAGGGTGCAAATGGGTATTCACAGTTAAGTATAAGGAGGATGGTTCAATTGAGAGACACAAGGCGCGACTAGTGGCCAAAAATATTACTCAAACCTATGGAATCGACTACACTGAAACCTTTGCTCCTGTTGCCAAACTCAATATTGTCTGAATTCTTCTCTCATTGGCAGCTAATTCTGATTGGCCCCTACATCAACTTGATATTAAAAATGCATTCCTGAATGGTGAACTTGAAGAGGAAATTTATATGTGTCAACCTCCGGGGTTTGAAGAGGAATTAGGGAGACAAACTGTCTGTAAGCTCAACAAGTCTCTCTATGGTTTAAAACAATCTCCGCGTGCTTGGTTCGACAGATTCTCGAAGGTAATCAGGAAGTTCGGCTACATTCAAGGACAAGCCGATCATACACTATTCATTAAACACGCTTGAAAAGAGAAAATTACTATTCTTATAGTATATGTTGATGATATCATTATCACAGGAAATGATAGTGAAGAGGTGGAGAGAATCAAGAAAATAATGGCAAAAGAATTCGAAGTTAAAGACCTTGGAGCCCTGAGATATTTTCTAGGGATAGAATTTGTACGGAGTAAAAAGGGTATTTCTATCTCTCAAAGGAAGTACACCTTAGAACTTTTGGAAGAAACTGGCATGCTGGGATGCAAGCCAAGTAAAACGCCGATTGAACTTGGTAATCAAGCAAAAATGCTTGAAGGAGGACCAGTCGATAAAGGAAACCATCAACGTCTTGTTGGAAAGCTCATCTACCTCTCACATACGAGACCAGATATTGCCTTTGCAGTGAGTCTAGTAAGTCAATATATGCACACACCGTGTCAAGGACATCTCAATGTAGTGTATAGGATCTTAAGATACTTGAAGCAGACACCTGGAAAATGCTTGTTTTTTGCAAAGACTGACGATCGAAAAGTGAAAGCATTCACTGATGCAGATTGGGCTGGATCAATCGATGATCGAAAATCAACATCTGGATATTGTACCTTATTGTGGGTGATTTTGGTGACTTGGCGCAGCAAAAAACAGTCAGTTGTTGCTAGAAGCAGTGCAGAAGCTGAGTATAGAGCTATGGCTCATGGAGTTTGTGAACTTGTTTGGATAAAAAGAGTGATGAAAGAGTTGAAGATTGACTTTGGAGAACCTATGTGGCTCTACTGTGATAATCAGTCAACTATCAGTATAGCTCATAATCCTGTTCATCATTGTAGGACTAAACATGTGGAAGTAGATCGGCACTTTATGAAAGAAAAACTTGATGGAGACGTTATCAGAATTGAATACATGCCTACATCTCATCAACTAGCTGATATACTCACAAAAGGTCTATCCGAACAAACTCTTGATGTACTTGTAAGCAAGCTTGGCCTCATCAACATCTACAGCCAAGCTTGAAGGGGAGTGTGGACGAAATTCAAATCTTATTGGATTTAGTCAAACTTTGGATAACATCAATCTTATTTTCTATTAGGATTTATTTGTTTTTAAACTTAGGATTAGAATAACAATTACTTATCAGTTCCTTATTTTTTGGGATTATTATTCCTATTGTTCTCTATTTAAAGGGAAACTTATTCATTAATAAAATTAATTCAGAACTTATTAGTTCACTCGTTTTTTATAATCTTGATTTTATTATAGCCACTGAATTCGTCCATGAAAGAGAACATTTCGTGATTAGCTGTGGCGTCGATAAGCATATCTAAATTTGGAAGTGAAAAATCATCTTTAGAACATGCCTTATTCAGATCACAGTAATGCACACAACAAAGAATCTAACAATTGTTTTCCTGCCTGGTACCACATTTGCAAGCCAAGTGGTGTGTTTTATGAATCCAGCATCTAATAATTTTTCCACCTCCTTTTTTATTTGAAGCTGGATATAATTATTGATGTGTCTTGCAGACTGCTTAACAGGCTTGGCAGTGTGTAATAGGTCTAACGCTCAAACCTGGCATATCTTTGTATGTCCATGCATAGATGACGCGAGATTCCTTTAACAATGCCAGTAAAGCTATTTCAAACTCAGGGTCTAAGAGTCGCAAAACTGAATGTAGCTTTTTCCCCTTCACCTTCTACCAAATTAATTTTCTTGAGTTTCCTCTGATGATTTTTGGATTCACCTTGTAATTTTTATGGAGCTAGCAGAATTACTTCCCTTTTTTCGACTGTGTAAATGTCTTTCAGATTCGTGAGGTCACAACTGGCTTTGTCGCACCTTCATATAGATATTCCTGCCATTAGGTAAGAATATTCGTTGCAGTAGAGGACAAGTAGAGCAGTTTTATCAATATCCAAGGACCTATTTATTATAGGTACTATTTAAATGAAACAAAGTTTACAAGTGATAATAGCTTTTATGGTTTGGGCTCTGCATTTTTCTCTTTCTTTCCCTCGCCTTCTCCCTTTCCTAGATGCGCGAACAGATTTTCTCAACCCCAAACAGTATTTGTTTTCTGATTTTTTTCAACATCTCTACCCCAAACAGTATGCCTTTTGCATATATTTTTATTTATCTCATATTCTTTATATATATAAATAACAGCACATCACTCTGCTTTTTGGTGGCAAATCTTTACACTGAGTTGCACCTAAATATTGATACATATTAGCTTCATCCACAGAGTTTTAGCGCTTTTTGTCCTCTGAACTTTTCTTGAATTGACAAGTTGCCTGCAAAACATTGAATTCTAGCAAATTACACGTTGAATTGATAAAATATTTGTAGAATTGTTTGATGACTACTGTTAAATTTAGATGGAAATGCTCTCGTGTACATCACATAAACTTGTTCTAAAGGGCATTATGGAAAATTTGAATAACTCACGTGAACGAGTGTATTTTTTCAAGATTTTAGGCACTAGGCACTATGCAAAACTTTAATAAATTTAGAAGATAGTTCGCAAAAATTAAAAGTAAGTTGCTTATGAGTTGGCAAGTATAGTTTGTGATCAAGTTGCTGACACTTATTTACACAGGGGGTAATATTTTTCATGGTGCTATGAGTTTGGATTCACTTTTCTTGCTGCGACCTGTCAAAGGATGGTAATGCTTTTGTAATTGAAACAAGTTATAAGATAAATAAATAAATAAACTACACCATATTAATGTTTATAATTTGGTAACAGCAACTATAAAATGTTATTAGTGCAGGTCAGACTATAGGACGCCAGTAAAGGGGTTGTACGTGTGTGGAAGCGGATCACATCCTGGTGGTGGCGTCATGGGTGCACCTGGTCGCAATGCTGCATTTGTTGTTCTTCAGGATCTTAACAAGCCCTGACGATAGCTCTACAAGAAATTATGCGAACAAAATAAAAAATCTATTATATCTGTCTTCCTCCTTTTTTCTCTCTCAATCTTTTGCTAATGGATTTGCGTAGGAGCCAATCGGAAATGGAACAGATAGCAATCCGAGAGGGTAATTGGAGAAGAAACACTAATCCAAGAAATCTAACAAAACAAGAGAAGAAAATAAGGAGCTCTAAGCTTAATTTCATTCACCAAAGTCCCCAGCTATCTCAGCAGCCTCTACAATCAGCCCTTATACCTCGAGGAGCGTCCACTAGGGCAGACACTCGACCCAAGGGTACCTGGGGAATGTAGCATTAGATGACATAGGAAATTAAGCTATCAACACAAACGACAGTAAACATAGCAAAACGACAGCGCCAATGGGCTTATTACAAACGACGCAATACATAAAAGATAGATAATTCCCCTGCATCATGGTTCTTAGTGCTGGAACTTTAGACGGGTCGTCCGCGACCGCCCAAAAAAAGCGATTGTGAGCCTGATGCTTGAGCCCGCCCGCTTGAATTGTTTGGGTTGATCGCCCGAGCTCGAGAAGGCCCATAGATGGGCGTGGGCCTAGTTTTGGCTGCCCGAGCCCGCCCGAATGGCCCGAAAAAAATATATCTTTTATTATATTTTTTAATTTTTATATTATTGTATGTATATATATTATATATAATATACTATTATTTAGTAATTATATTTGTACATAAATAATTATCAAGTTATTTTGTGTTAAAATTATATAAAAGTTAAAATCAATACACACTATTAACACAATTTTATAAATTAATTTTGAATATTAATTTTTAAATTTGTAATTTATAATTACCTCATTAAAAATCTTATTAAGAAAAATTCAATTGGAATAAAAACTTTGTAAGGAAAAAAGAGTGCAATCATTTTGTGATGAATTACAAATTTTACAAGTTTACAAAGTCTAAATATACAATTACAATGTCAAAAGTAAATACATATTTACAAATTATAATTTAATTTGAAGCTGAATGATCGTCTTCAAAATTAAATGTTAATGCTTCTTTTTCTTGTTTAAATAATTTTACAAATCTTTCCTAAGAGTAGTTTTTGAAAAAAAAAAAAAAAAAACTGTGCATTAGGATTGTATACAACTTTAATATATCGCTACCAATTAAGATGCTCTACAAAACTAAGTGGTTGATCTAATGCAGTTATCATTCGCGCAACTTCCATACGATCTACTTGCGGATTGTATTTTTAAGTGGTTAGACCACCGGTTGTGCAATCAAAAGATATTTGTGTTTGGCGGAGTTCGGCTCTACTGGTTTGGCCACGCTTTTGAAGACACTTTTCGGAGTGTCTTCTCAAGTGTGTTGTGTTGTGAATAGTGTCACATTGTAATTTAGAATAACAATATTTACATTGAGTTATGTGTTTAGTATTACCGTCATTGTCGACCTTCTTAATTATGTCGAAATGATCCCAAATTGTTAATGTGCACTTGCATTTCCTCTTGGAGGTTGCAACATTTGCAGACACAGTAGCACTTGCACTTGCCTCTCTTCCATGCACACCACCATTGCGACCACGACCTTTAGTACATCCACCACGGCTCGGTTGGTTGTGTTTGTGATTCCTGCGTAATAAATTAATTAGTAGGAAATTACCCTTCTTCCATGTTTTGTTGGGCATCAACAGAAGTACCACCATAACCAAAAGAATCCATTATAAAAAAATATGAGCGATTTGAGAGAGAGCTTTAGGATATTATGATAGTTTTTAGAAAAATTGTTAGAGAGATTTGAGAGATTGAGAGAGTTTGGGTGAAGAAAATGTGCGGGGGATGGGAGTATTTACAGGGAAATTTTTGGGTTAAAAATTTGAGTTTTTTCCCCAAATTCGGATCCAACGGTCATTTTTTGTCTCAGCGGGTCGGGTTTGGGCTAAAAATCGGGCAATGGTAAAAAAAAAAGAGCATTGGAATCGGGCTTTCAGGCGACAGGTCGGGTCAATCGCCAACGTTAAAAAAACTAGCCATTGATTGGGCTTCGGGCAATTCGTGCCGGAGGAAAAAAAATAAAAAAAATTTCGTCAGTCAACGGTCGGGGGCTTTCATTCGGCGGCGGGCTTCGGCGATTCTGACCTTTCTCGGCAGCCTGAGCCTGAAATCGTTTATTAACTATTTAATACAATACAAACACATAAAGGAATCTATAATTTATAATTTATATCTATAATCTACATCTATCTATAACATATACATAAAAGAGCTAAACTCTCTTACAATCCTTCTTTCTCCAGTTGCCACTTGTCAACTCCCACTTTTTTGTGTTTTTTTATTTTACTTTTTCTAATTCTTTCTTTTTTACTTATTTGGTTTGAAAACTATTCTACAATTTATTTACCACAATATGTTTTGTTGGAATATTTTTTTTCTCACTTTACTCCTATCAAAATAATTTTTTTAAGTGTGTACTTATTCAATTGTTATTTTCATTTTTATTAAAATCACCTTTACATTGTAATTATTATTATTTTTTTTGAAATGTACATTGTAATTATTTTTCGGGCAAAACTTATGATCGAACATGCATTTTTGTTCTACCAGTAGGAAATAATATTTTAGCCATTAAATTAGCTTTTCAATGACCTGATCTAAAGTACAAGTAATTTTGTGTTGCCGTTGTAAATTTTTAATCTAATCTATAATCTATAATCTATATATAATAATCTATCTATCAAACATAAAAGAGCTTAAGAGCCAAAACTTTTTTCTATTAGGCTGCCACATAGTAGTCCATTTTTTACCTCATTTTTTCCCTTTTTTACTTTTTTACATCTATTTTTTTTTTGAACTTTTTTATTTTTTGAATGTTTCATTTTACATTTTAATTTTTTGAGTGTTTTTTAAAGATATATTTTTTTTCTTACTTTATTCATATAGAAGTAATTTTTTTTGCATTTGTTCCTATTTTATTTTTTGTTAATGATTAAAATAATTTTCTTTAAATGTGTCTCTACTTAATTATTTTTCGTGTAATTCCTATTATATTAAAGGTTATCTTTACACATATCCCTTTTAAAAATACATTCACAAATCCTTAAATGGTTGTATAAATAAATTTCTCATTAGTGGGTAAATAATAAACTCTTCAGGTAATTCTAACGTGGCAATACGTGAGGAGCATTAAAAAAAAAAGAAAAAAACTAGTATTTTAGAAAGGGAGAAGCTTGTTATCAGGCCAGATGCAAAATTTCTTTAATGAAACATAATAAAACCACGAGAAGCTCAAAGAGATAAATGCTAGCGTCACTCTTTTCGTCACTTTCATTATCACTTTCTACATTAACTGTTTCACATGTGAATTCTATTATCTCATTTTTTGTTTAAATAATTATATATTATGTGAGTGGAGTCCACATGTCAAACAGTGAATATAGAGAGTAATAAAAAGAATGACGCTAGTATTCCTACTCAAAATTTAGAAATACTAGAAATAATTATTATTAACTCCCAATAACTACTGAAGTTAATGATGTTATTTCAGGAATTTCAAAAGAAAAATGTTATTTCAAATTTAGAGACTACTTGGCTATTAAGAATAGGTGCCAGAACCATAAGAAATTAAGTTCTTAAACACAAACAAACAAAATAATCGATACATACAAACCAGGTTTACAAAGGTCTAAAGAAAAGCAATTTGACTCGAAGCATTATTGAGTTAAAAAAAATAAAACTATAGCAACTTAGCAAAGAGCTTTTTGAAAATCAAATTAAATAATAATATTTAAAAATAAAAATAATTATTTAAAGTCACTTAATTAGAATAAGAGAATTAGATAGAATAATTATGGTAACTCAACACTTAATGCACTATATATAAAGAACGAGAAATACAAGTATAAAAAAAAGACATAAAAAGAATACTTTAATGTTAGATTTTCATTAGACGGATGTTTAACATAAATAAAATAACGTAATACAATCGGTCCACTAAATCATTAGATATTAAATTCTTTGTAAATTTAGGTAGGACAAAGTTTGATTTAACTTTTAAGCATATTATTATATTATTATACTATATACTAAAGGAGATAGTGGAGTTACTGATCTTTGAACAGTGTGCTATCTTTTTTGTCTCTCAGTTTTTGAAAATCCCGTTTGTGTCCCTCTGAATCTATGTGATGTGCTTTTACGTTTTTGCCCTTGCTTTTTTTTTCATTAGGGTTATATTATTTGGGCCTTTTTGGTCATTTGCTTCACAATGAAGCTTCTAGGCTTTTTTCCTTTCGGTGTGTTTGGTTGCTTTGATGTTTTCAGTGGAAATGATGCTTCTAGGTTTTTTTTTTTTTTTTTTTTTTTCCTTTGTTCTCTCCTTGGAAATGAAAAAATCTTTTAGTTTCCATTTCTTCTCTCCGTCTGGATTTTTTCTGGTCTTTTGAGTTCTCATGTTTTCTTCTGGTCTCCTTACAATGAAGCTTCTAGGTTTTCTTTTCTCTCTTCTATTTGTGTGGGACTTTGGTGGAAATGAAGCTTCTGGGTTTTTTTTTTCTCTGTTGTTCTCTCGGTGGAAATGAAAAAATTTTGGGTGTGGTTGTTTTCGTGCTTTTGGTGGAAATAATGCTTCTGGGCTTTTTTTTTTTTCCTTTGTTCTCTCAATGGAAATGAAAATTTTTTTTTTACTTTCTCAATTTTTTTTTCTTTTCCTTGCAGCTGTTGTTTGGGGTTTCGTATTGTAATTAATCTTTTTTTTTTTTACAGTGACTTTTACAATTTCATTTGGTCTTCGTTTTGTAAGCGCGTTGGCTGTTTAGAAATTAATATTTTTGAGGTTTTTATGATACTAAGGTTAGAAGAACTCGAATGTCTGGATTTTTACTTTTTTTTCTTTGATGGGGGAAGGTCTACTGCCGCGTTGATCATCGTCTTTGAGGAGTAGAAGTCGGCGTTGACTGTTTCCGCCAGCCCATAATAGGGACTCCACTAGTTTACGATCATTAGCGACTATGATTTTGGATGAGGAGCTTTGGGGAAAAAAATGCGTGCTCAAATTGATGTGTCGAGGAATTTTTCTGATTTCAGTCTCGTCTTGCGTCATTTTTTCTGTGCTTCATCAGAATCACAATCGATTTTCATCGAGTGTTTTGTTTCTGTGCTTCATCAGAATCGATTTTCATCGAGTGTTTTGTATTGTATGCTACATGGCCATCGCATTATTATTGGTGTTATAAGACTATTTAGTTAAATGAAATTTTACCTTAAAAAGATAAAACACCGCATTTATTTGGAATTTCAACACAAATGGTGAGATTTTTTTTCATAGCTGAAGTTTTATAAAATTATAAAAATAATTGTTTTTTAACTTATTGATCAATTATCAATTGATTTGACAGTCTATTAATAATTAATTTTGTGCTTAATCACTGAGTGATTAAGCAATTTATCACTAATTAATTTTAAGTTTATTAATTTTTCATAATTAATAATTATCAGTTAATAATTAATTAATAATTAATTAATAATTAATTAATAATTCATTCATTTTAATCAACAAATTATAAGTTTGTCAATGAATTAATAAATTATTAATAAATAATAAGTTCATAAATTATAAGTTTATCAATGA